CGTTCATACTACTTGAACACACGGGATGCATTTTTCTCATTCCCGTACATAATTTTTAAATTATCCCACATCTCCTTAGCAGTGTTTGAGAACATGATACTGCTACTAATCTGGGCTTTCATGCTATTAAGAAGCCAAGTCATCACACAACAGTCAGCAGAGATCCATGTATGATACGTAGGATCTGTAGATGAGGGAGGTGGGGCCAGAAGATGAGCTAATTTATTCTGAGCACCAATGAAGATGTGAAAGGTTTGTGCCCAAAGTAGATAGTTTGTGCCATTTAACTTCATCGTGGTCCCCAATACAACTTTAGGGGCAGAGATCTCAGCAGTAATAGGGGTAGTAGTAGTAGCAAAAGAGATGACAAATCCTGTCATTTTTACAGAACAAGATAGTACAATAGCAGGAGGATCACAATCTGCTTGTATAAAACCTGAAGGTTTGAATAGAATCCGAAGGTTAGAATAGAAAACCCCGAAAGGTTAGAATAGGAACCCGAAGGTTAGCATAGAACCCGAAGGTTAAAAATCTTAACCTAGTTTTTTAATATATATATATATATATATATAGAGAGAGAGAGAGAGAGAGGAAGTAAGACTCCTATCAACTTAAGTTGATGTCCATCAAACTTCCTAGCCACTCATTTATTAATATAAAAAATATTTTCATATCATGCAAGGATCCTTAGGTAATATGAGTGGCTAATTTGTTATCCACTTAAGTTGACACAAGTTTTGTGCTCTCTCTCTATATATATATATAGTTTTTTGTTTTGTTTGTTTTGTTTTTTTGTTTTTTTTAATTTCTGTACAAGCTTCCATCCTCATCAACAACAGTACAACTACTCCTCTCACTTCAGAAAACAAGCCCGAAATAAAAACACAGATCAAACGAAGGGCCCAAACACAAACAAGAAACAAAAAAAAATCACAGATCTGAGCCGCGAACTCAGCAACTTGAGAGGGACGATGACTCGAAAACGACGGCGATGAGCGCAAACGACAGCGACGACGGCTGAGGACGGCGACGATGGCTAGTGCAGATTTGATTTCCGATGACGACGCGACGACAACGACGATGGTGAGCATAGAAGATGAATAGCAGCCGAGATCGAAGTCTTCTTCGCATAGACGATTGACGACGACAGCTAGGGTTCATGCTACAGTAAGTTTTTTTTATTTTTTTATTTTTTTTAGGGTTTGGAGAGTGACGGCTCTGATACTATGTTGAAATGGTAAATCAGAATCATGTATTAGGGTTTCTCCTCATGGATACATATATATAGGAGTACAAATGGATAATAGGTTATTGGGTCTTAACCCGATAACCCAATACTTAATTCTAACAATGCCCAACGTGGCCCGATATATCCCCGATATATCCTTTTACAAGACTTGCTGCAACTGATATGATCTTTAAATATATTTAACGTATTTTGACTATGTTGGGCGATATATCCTTTAAGTGGCCGATATATCAGCCAATATGTTGGCCGATATATCCTTTTATATGACTTGTCACGAAACCATATACCGCGTTTGGCAATTTTTTGAGTGAGGTATCATGATTTTCCCAGCCTACAAAAAAATCTAAAAAATGTATCGATGTTGATTTGTATTTTTGTTTGTTTTATAAGATTGATTAGTGATCCTAAACATATATTGTTTACATTTTGGATGCTGAGATTTTATTAAGTATGTTGATTTGTTCTCTTTCCATATGTTTTGTTCAACTTTCTCTTGTTTCTCTCTCTACCGTTCTATATAGCAAGTGGACTACTTTCAGTGTCCTATTTGGTTCTAAATCGGCCATATTTCCCATCATTTTCATCTTCTAGCAATTAGATAGTGACCTGCATCCTTAGACCTAGATCAGGTCATGGGTTAGTCTAGTTTTCTGTGACATTCAGTCTATGTTTTTATATAGATGGTACCCAATAACTTGAAATGGTTGTGAAATAAATCTATTATGGGCTGTGACACAATAGTACTTTGGAAAAAGTAACTAAAGTTGTTGAGATTAAATTCCACATTACTTAGGCATATAGTTATGGTCCAAGAACTAAATTGTTATTGTTTATGTTAGAATTAGGACACTAGTGGTTGCCCTAGTAATTTTAATGGATTTGGTAAATATTGTGATAGAACCATAATGATTTTTGTTGGAAGATGAGGTTGATACTTATCTTGTCTGGTTGATTGGCCCAAACTACCCAACAAGGCTTCTCTCTATAAATAAGTTCTCGATGGAGAAAAAGGAGATTTTAGGTAAGAATATTTTAGAGATGTGAGAATTCCAGGAGAATTGATAAATGAAAAGGTAACACTTCCTTATTTATGTTTGTTGTAGTCATCTAATTATCAAAGTTTTGGTTTGTTCTCCTGTTTTCTCTATTTGAGTTCTGAATTCCTATCTAAATACATTATTTGGTCTGCTTTTACTCTAATCTTCACCTAACTACTTTTCCACGAATTATATCATTTTCTTTTCTTGTTCATGGTTTACCTATTTTTGAACTTGGCTTTGACATTAGAAGGTTGGTGAAAGGTCGAAAGATAATTATTATTTTCTTAAGTCTTTGATGGTACCTTAGAATCTTTTCCAAATCAGTTTAAATGAGAAGACAAGATGATAAAATCAATGATGTTGAGATTGCTCCAAGGAGAATTCAGAAGTTGGTATCTATCTACAATCTCATGAACTTTTCAATAATCCTGAAGCCTTCATTAACTGTAGTTGGCCATATGCATTCTCCTTTACAACTTTATGATATTGACTTAGATTCCTTTTTGTAGTGTGTTCTTTTTAATGACTGCCATTAGGTTAGTATCAATACTTATTTTTCAACGATGCTTGAGAAGGCCTACAAGGTGTTGTTTCCTAGCTTCCAACTAATAAACAAATAAAAAAATCTAGTCATCACTGTTATGTTGTTAAGACTTTGCATCCTAAAGGTTATAAATCTAATTAGGATTTTACGATTACACGGTAGAAAAGGCTTCCTAAATCCTAAATTTCTTAGACTCATGACAAGTGTGTAGTTCAGGCATTTGATGAAAATAGCCACTTTAAATTTACCATGTCGCATAAAGAAGTCAAAGCGAGACAAACTGGTAATGGCTTTATCTTTGTTTCTTTACGTTTTATGTATACTATCTTGAATGCATTGTTGTCAGATTATTCGTTACGTAGGCAACGAAATTCAAGTTTGCTGCTATAGTATCTATGTCTAATAAATGTTGATGATGCATTTTTCATCTTATTTTGCTTTTCAAATTGCCATAGAAATAATTATAGCAGAGTGCATAAATCAATGTCCTTAAAACTGATCCAAAAAATGTCAGCAGCTGATCTAAGTAATTGGGTTGGGAATTTGCTGATTATGTGTTGGTTGATCGAGTTGTGAGACTTATCTTTATCCTTGTCACCTACAATTGTATTGTTTGAGAATTTGCGTGTTACGAGTTGGTGATCTAGCTTCTTTCTTAATGATTTGTGAGACTCGATGGGGAATGACACGATGGAGATCTATTGAGGATGGTTATTTGGACAAAATAAAAATGAAAATAACACAACTATTGATATTGCACTTCTCATTTAAGAAAATAAAAGAGACAAATGATGGGCTTCACATCGAACATTTCATATGCCAACAACTCACATGCCTAATACTAACTGCAATTCGCATGTAGAATTATAACAAACATTTTTCTCTCTTCAAATGAAAAGCATAGTTTTATTTATAGAACAAACTAGGACGGTAAGAAAAATCTTAATTAAATAAGGAATAATATCAAATAACATCCTAACTAAAAAAGAGAGAACATCAGGTAAGATTCTAACCAAATGAAATAATAGAATCAAATAAAACTATTACTAATTTATCTAATCCTAATTGAACTAAATAAGGTCCAATTTTCATCAAATATTTTTACCAGATTTTAGATCCAAATATGTCCTACATCAAATCTCCTGCAGTCGAAGGAACTCGACCTCGAGTTTAACATTGAATATATCGGACTTTGAATTGTTGCATTCCTGATGTTGAAGCTGCAACGATGAATCTCTTTGGCTTCGATGCCAAGTGATGGGGAACCACTAAATGGAGATGTGTTGAGGATGTTTATTTGGGCAAAGTAAAAATAAAAATAACACGACTATGTTGTACTTCTCATTTAAGAAAATAAAAGGTTCAAATGATGGGCTTTACTCCCAGGCACACTCACATGGCAGCAACTCACATGCTTAAGACTAACTGCAATTTACATACATGATTTATCACATACATTTTTCTCTCCTTTCAAATGAATTGTTTATCTACAGAAGAAACTAAGAAGATAAGAAATATCCTAACTAATGAAGAGATGTCATCAAATATAACATCCTAACTAAAAAAAAGAGATAACATCTGTAAAATTCGAACCAAATAAATTGCTAGAATCAAATAAAACTATAACTAACTTATCTAATCCTAATTGAACTAAATCAGATCCAACCTTCATCAAATCTTTTTACGAAATTTAGATCATGTTAACGAATATATTATGGAGATCTACAATGTCATAGTTTATTATGAATAATATATTAGGAGTATAAGTTAGAGATTTAGTGACTGAGAGATATTAGAAATGTAACTAAGAGAATAATTGTAATTAGGTAATTGTGTGTAGTCTCACATTGACTACACAGTAAACTTCTTATTATTGTATCCCTATATAAAAGGGAGTAGTTGTAGCTTTCGAAATATGAATAAGAGTCCCTGGTTTCCCTCATAATTAATTTCAACAGATCAAAATCTGTCCTGCATCACATCAACAATTGTATGCTTGGGTTGAGAATTTGCTGACTATGAGTAGGCGATCTTGTTGCTTTCTGGAGGATTTCTGAGGCTCATGTTTTTCCTTTTCACCTACAATTCAATGCCTTGGAATTATATCTGGTGCTTATCATTTTTAATCTTACTTTTATTTTAATGGACTAATGGTATTGATTTACAGTTTGGTGAAGTTGATATTGATGGTTCTTTGGTTGCTTCAAAAACTGCGGTAGCTGAAGATATAGTTATGCTTAATAATGGCTGTCTTTGCTGCACCGTGAGAGGTGACCTTGTTCGCATGATCGCTGAATTGGTTGACAAGAAAAAGGGAAAATTTGATCACATTGTAATTGAAACTACAGGTAGAAGCACTTCTACCCTATTCCTTTTCCCTTTTAAATACGCAATAGCTCCACGTGTAAAATATGATTTTTATGTTTTTGGCAACCATTGTTCATAAGGATTAGAGATGAAAAGGCCTAGATTTGTGCATTATTCCTTTCCTCCTAATGTCACTTCTTCTGGAGAAAATTCAAGTTCTTAGAGGGAAATGAATTGGTCTTTCCTGTGAACTCCTCCAAAACTTAGCCTCTAAACTCAGTTGAGTTGGTCAAGCATAGAAACTTTAGAAGAAAGCAATGAAACATCTTAACAGTTAACACCCCTTGAAGATAATATCTGGAGATGAGGATGGAGCATGTTCTTCTTTCTTTTTTCTTTATTCTTTTCCCCTTTTCCGGATGCAATTTTGGTATGTATTCTTACTTAGCGTTGTTAGGACCTATCCATCATTTATCCATCATTGTGACTGGAGGAATCTGGCAGTGCTGTCGTGTGAATATAACACTGTACTATGAAAGTCTTTGACTGGCTCTATTTGTATTGGTTTTTATCGCTTAAATATGAAGTTACAATTTTCAGGTCAGGAGAGAGGCTAGGCATCGTTTTGGATTAATTACCGTCTTCCGTAATGATAGAGCTTTTCTTTTTCTTTTTCTTTTTTTTTTTGCTCTCAAAGAGAATTCTAAGGTTTCTAAAAGTCTATGAAGCCTGGGCACTGTTTTAACTTCGTGCATACCCCTACTTCCATTTCCATTTTATGTTGGAATCACAGTATCACACATCTCAAGATGTGGAAAATAAAGATGTGGAAATTAAAGCCTCTAGTTTTGAAGGTTCCGTAGATTGAAGAGAGTCAATATACTTGCATCAGTTTCTGGTGTAAAACACGATACTACTGAAACTTAATACTTAAAGCATGGAATTTGACTCAATATTTTCTTGAATCCTGTACATGTTCCTTATCCCCATAATTTGTATACTGACGTATATTAAAATTATTTGTAGTTACCACCCTAAAACATGAGTCATTTCTTAATGATCTCATTAGATCTAGCAGTGGAGCTTTTCCTTTAATCATATAATAAACTTTCACCTCAAGACTTAATCTATAAATGCTGAAAAACCTCTCTATATTGTAAAAGTAGTAGGTCTGATAATAGAAATGGAATTCTAGAATCTTCTGGATTAGTGATAATATAAACTCCCACAATGATTTATCGACCAAACCTGAAAGTTGAATCCAAATTCTCAGAGCTTGGTACAAAGTGATGTTGTTGATATCAAGAGTGAAGAGTCTACTTTGATCAAGAAATTCTCGAACTACAAAGTGTATTGCTTTCTTGTTTCAATGCACTTGTTTTTAGTTGTATTAAGTTAATTGTAGAAGATAAGTTACAATGTCAAGAATAAGATTACTTTTGCCAAACTAGAGTTTTGTCTGTATCCCTGCCTTTAATGTGTTGCGCCTGATCAAGTTCATTTCTTATCATGGCATTAGGTTTCTGCATCTGAAGTGGTGTTTTTACTGTTTAGGATCACTAAGAGGTTGTTTGGTTGCTTGGAAATAGATCTACTAAAGTGAATATTGCAGCCAGACTTATATTTCAATTGTTTGCTTTGCAACATTGTAATTAGGAAAGGTAAATGTACTTACAATTTGTAGAAAAAATCTGCAGCAAATACTACAGCCAATTTGGAGGAAGGAAAAACGGCAGACTTTAAAACAGGATATTAAAAAGTAAAAATTATAACTCATCAAACACTCCTTTCCTATTCCAAATAGGAAATCAATCTACACACGCATTTCTTTTGATGCCAATATCATGCAGCTTTGCACCATGTTTTACCAGACACTGAATTTGCATTGAACATACATCTCCTACAACAAAATTGGAAAAGAAAATCCAAAATATAGACTTGAAGTTGATTTCCTACAAAAATGTTGTATGCAGCATTTGCTGCTGCAACATTTTGCAACAAACCAAACATCCCGTACGTTTAACAAATTGTGAGATGTGAGAAATAATTAGAACAAGTTTATGAACGTTAATTGTTTTTAGCTGTAAAAATTATGTTGGATGAGATAATCTGTATTGAATGCCATTAATTGGTAAAATTTCAAATCTCATATTTGACAGCATCTGCAGTCTTGTTTCTCCCTCTCCATCCTACTGCTTACAGTTTGAATCTCTCAATTATCTGATCGACATAGTTAAAATACTCAGATTCGTTATTATCTACTAATTGTATCATTACTCTCTACGAACTTACATGCGTCTCTTGATGGTTTCTTCCAATGTTTGAAAAAGCTTTTTTGAAACCCGCTTTGAAACTCGCTTCACAACTTATTGAAGGGTAAACGCTTCGAAACTTAACAAGGAAGCTATTTATCCCTTAAAGCTTACGCCTCATTGCTTAAAGCGTAATTGAAGTGTGCGCTTTGCGCTTCATAAACCGCTTTTATTTTGAAGCACACGCTTAAGACTAGATAGTAGGACATAAAAGGATCTTTGACTAACATTAAAATGCCCCTATATATTTTCAATATAACTATGTGAGTGTAAATAAAATATATATGTTATGCATGTAGCTTAGCTTATTATGATTTATTTCTATACTTCACATATATAATTCTTATTTACTAATCAGTACATGAATGTATATATTTGTAATTATTAGGCCACTATATATTATATGTTCATGATTTTTACAAATTTAAAATTAAAATATTTAAACTCATGAAGCTTACGCTTCAAGCTTTGAAGCTTACGCTTCAAGCTTTGAAGCTTACGCTTCAAGCTTTGAAGCTTACGCTTCAAGCTTTGAAGCTTACGCTTCAAGCTTTGAAGCTTACGCTTCAAGCTTTGAAGCTTACGCTTCAAGCTTTGAAGCTTACGCTTCAAGCTTTGAAGCTTACGCTTCAAGCTTCATCAAAGGGTCTAGCGCTTCGCCTTGTGCTTCTGCTTTTTTAAACATTGGTTTCTTCTACTTGAAATTTGATTTAGTTTGTGTTTCCCTTGGGTAATCATTCATTAACAACACTGTTTATTATTTGCAGGCTTAGCAAATCCAGCACCTATTATTGAAACATTTTATGCAGAAGATAAGATTTTCAATGATGTCAAGCTGGATGGTGTTGTGACTTTAGTTGATGCCAAGCATGCACGCTTCCACCTTGATGAGGAAAAGCCGAAAGGAGTAGTGAATGAGGCAGTTGAGCAGATTGCATATGCAGATAGAATTATAGTGAACAAGGTATTAGCTTACTAAGCACTCATTTTGCATGTATTTGACTGGATCTTATGCAGTTCATTTATATTATTGAAAACTTGAAAATCCAGTACTTGGGATGCGCATAATGGTCTTAGTATTCAATAGACAATGATGGTCTGATGGTTAATTGTTAAAGCTGTTTCCTTGTGTAGATGCTATATTATGTTTGTGATATTTGTATGTCACTATGATTGAAAACTCCTTTTCTATACTTTTACCTTCATGTTTGGTGTGGAACTGAAAATGATCGATGTAGTCATACAATCAGATTTGCTTTTTGGTTGTTCTGCAAATTTAGCATTAAATATTTTAATATCTAAAAGAAATTCGCTTATATACTGAGGAGATTTTATTACTATCTGTTTGGTTTACTTTACAACTATGTTAACATCATTGTTGTCATCATCCCTGTTTTAATCATTGTCAGAGTTATTCTAATCAGCATGGGACATCTGTGGTCCACAATCGAAATCAAGAAAGTTCCCCTAAAGAGTTGAATAAGTTTCTGTGATTAGCTACAAGGTTAATTCTTTTTCCTCCCTGTTAAGGAATTCAACATCAAGAGAAGCATGTGCAAGAGTCAGACAGTCAGATGCATGGTCGATGCTTGACTGCCAGGTGACAAGTAGGTAGACCCAAGGTTTTAAATGTCGGTTATCAGGGATTTATCGGACGGTCAAAATCCTTATCGGATAGCGGAAATCGGAGATATATCGGAGATAAGTAGTATTTATCGGAGTAATATACTAGCAAATAATAAACAAACATAAGCTTGAAAAAAAATATAATGTTAGTCAAAATAGAATAATAAACAAGCAAATAATAAGATAACATTAAGAATGAAGAACCATCTACGCATCTACATAATTATTGGTTAATCATGAGATTCATAAACTAACTTACTAAGTTGATATTTAGTAGTTATGAGCCATTATCAATATCTATAAACAAACATTAGCTAATCACCAATCAACCAAGTTCCAAAAGCAACAAATAGCTCATAATTTGTAAACATTCAAAGAGCAAATTCAAAAGAAAGTAAAAGCTCCCAAATCCTACTTATCGGCCGATAAAGCCGATATTTAGAGCCTACTTATCGGCCGATAAGTGCCTTTATCGCCGATAACTCGCCAATAAACTTTAAAAAACGATAACCGATTAAAAATCCTACTTATCCTAGCGGAAAGCACCCAAATCCGATAACTCGGCGATAATATCGGATTATCGGCCGATATTTAAAACCATGGGTAGACCTACATTTTTATCTGGTCACGCAACCAAGGAGAAAACCTCAAATTCCCTAGATCATGAAAGAATCAAAAGGAGGTGAAAAATAAGCCAAAGAGCCAAATGGAAACACATCCTTTCTCTGTAACAGTACAGCTCTTCTCATCAACTGAAAAGTAATAATGAGGATTCAGCAAACTTCTAGTTCAGATCATGCAGCAAGATGTTCAACTCTAAGCATACTGGTAATTAACATGATAAAAAATTGACTGGATCTGGAGGGAAAGATAAAGCGCTATAGTCATAGGAAGAGGTTAATGCCACCTACATTATTCCTGACACCAATAGTACCACTCTGATGCACTTATAAAGTTAGTTGGTGAAAAAAGGTTATAAATTATTAACAATTAAAAGAATATAAATTATTAACAATTATAAGAATATAAATATCATAAATTCATGTTTCGTAAAAATATATTGTTCTTACCCAGTAAATACTAATTTGAATCACTTCCTTTTTTTGTTTAGAAAAGAAATCATTTTTAAAGATCTTCAAATTATTTATCAGAAAAACAATAACCACATAACATGGCTGCTTGTGTACTTAGACCATTTTGTCTTGGTTATTCATATGATCTTTTTAGTATTTGGTCTCTTTTTTAAGCTTGTTGACTGTTTGCTATAAATGAGGAGGTTAATCACTATTGTGGATCGGACTGTTTGCCGAGAAAAAAACACATCTTTAAGTTACTTATCAGAAAACAATAATCATAGGAAATGATTGGTTGTGTTCTTTCGTAGACCTTTATCTTTGTTAATAACATGCTTCTTTACTTCCCACTTGGTCTCTTTGTTGAGCCTGTTAATGGCTGTTTACTGTTGCTAAGGAGGTCAATACTCAATAGGAAATATCTGTTATGATACCCTTATCATCTTGTGTTTATGGTTAATTGTAAAAGCTTTATATATGCCTTGAGGAACCCTAACCCAATATTCTATTTTCCTCATTAATTTTAGTTCATTTGAAAGGCTCTCTCATGGTTTACATACTTTGTAGGTTGACCTCGTTGGTGATTCGGACATTTCTACTTTGGTCCAACGAATAAAGGTTGAAGTTGCATCATTTAATAGTTCATTTTATTATGTAAATTAATTGCTTCAATTGTCTTTTTTTATTTTGTTTTACTGATGGTTGCAGAATATCAATAGCATGGCGCATTTGAAGAAGACTGAGTATGGAAAAGTTGATTTGGATTATGTACTTGGAATCGGAGGCTTTGACTTAGAGAGGTTATCTGTGTTTCTCTTTCCTTATTTGAATGCATCTGTATTTTTTCTGACAGTAAATAATCAATTTCTGATTATAACTGGTGATTAACTGGTTGGAGCATGATTGGACACAGAAGATAAGAATTTGCAGTCTCAAAAATATTATATTTTTGTTCCGTGCCAACTTCTCGGTCACTATGCTTAAAGAAGTACTTTCATATGTGATAAGAGAAAACCAAGGTCTATTTCTCATTGTGAGTTCTCCATATCTGGTTGCCTATGTTACCTAGGTACTTCTAATCCGGACCCGTACCTGTCACGTGTCATATCCATATCCGATATTTCTTGGACTCTCCTTAAATATATGCATATATTTATTCAGACATGTACTTAATTATACAATACATGTATAATTTAATACATTTATCATACAATTCTTAGATATATATTCTACACTTCACATCCATTTTTGTACTTTGTTGGATAGAGGTTGGGTTTGTTTCAACCTTAAGAGCTACAATTTAAAAGGGTCATTTACATAAATAGCTCAGAACTATGATTATATCCCATGAATTTCAGTTGTGTCCCCCTACACTACCTTTTACAAATTTGACGTATCCCGTACTAGTACTCGCACCTGCACCTGTGCAACTTGGTTGCTTTGTGTACCATCTCATGATCACCATCACCATCACCATCACCATCTCTTCATTCTTTCGTTGGTTTATGATCGGACACGAAATATAAGAATATGTGTTGACCCAGAGATCGTTGTTTTGTTTAGTTCCAACTTCTTGGTCAAGAAAACTATTATAAGAGTCATAGAAAGTCATCGTGGAGAATGGTTTCTTATTTTGAATTCTCCATATCTAGCTCCTCTGTGTGTACCATCTCATCATCTGCCCGTTCCATTTGTCTTCTCTTCTCCACTATATCAGGCAATAGCATGATCTATTGGAAATGATACCTGAAGTGGGCATGACAGTCAATTCTGATAACCAGATGAAACTCATAACTACAGATGTATTAGATTTCAGAATTAAAGATGTATTAGATCTTGGAATCAAAGATGCATTAAATGTGGTGTTGTGCTCCATATCTCACTGAATTTGATCTGGGGAGATTTAGAGTGTAGGCTGTGTTGCAGTGATCCATAACTAAATTCTATTTCTCTTGATATTTGGCGCACAACGGAAAATAAATACTTGGTGTTGTATTCTCTCCATTGTAGAGTACATATGCTATCTGTTGTTTTTTATTCCTTCAAAAGCCTACGATCTTTTTAATCAGCTGATTGATCATATTGCTAGCCTACCGTTTTGTTTCATTTTAAAGCATGAATATTAATTGCTACCAGTTAGGATCAAGGAGTTTGAAGCTTATAGGATTATGATCTCTTCATTCAGTTTCGTTTGTCATATTGCTACCAGTTAGGATCAAGGAGTTTGAAGCTTATAGGATTATGATCTCTTCATTCAGTTTCGTTTGTCATATTGCTACCAGTTAGGATCAAGGAGTTTGAAGCTTATAGGATTATGATCTCTTCATTCAGTTTCGTTTGTCATATCCAAGCTTATCTGGAGCTTTGAATGGTTAGTCTTTGTTGAGTCAACTTACAGGCTAGTATGCTTCCGTCGGCCTTCAGGAATTCTCTGTTACAAATTCCTATTTCAGAAACTTTTTTGGGGTCAATTATGCCAGAAAACTGCTAAAATAATCACTGCTAATTGTTGATATATATTTTCAAATAATTACTACCAATTGCTGATATATTTCTTCTTTGTACAAATGAACTAGATGTTGCACCCAGTGTATTTTAATTTTTCAAATTCATGAAATCTGATCAATTTATTGTTGAACTTTGCAGGATAGAGAGTGTTGTCAATCATAAAGATTCAAAAGACGACCACTCAGAGCATGATCATGATCATGACCTCAGTCATCACCATGATCATCATAATCACAGTGAACATGATCATACTCATGGTAAGACGATTTTCATCTTGTAAGGTACAAAGGAAGTTCATTATTATTTTTACTATCATCTATCTCTAGTATTATTTAAAAGAAGCCCCCTTTTGGTTTGGATGCACTTCATTTTTAGAATTCTGAAAATGCCCTCATATTTGTAAAGAAAGGAAATGCATGGACGCTTGAAAAATCAGTTGAAATGTGGTTAAACCAGGAAAAATCAATGAAAATGCCTTCAAACCTGGAAAAAAAAATCAAGTTATCTTGATAGTTCTACTACACTGCCCTAGGTTCCATGTCATGCACGCAATGCGTGCATCAAAATACTAATTATTAGGTTAAGACAACTAGATGTCTCAACTTTCTTATGTGCTTAAAAGAATCTCATGTATATGGCAATTCAGTACGAGTTAACAACTTCAGATTTACTTGACTTAATATCATTCTTTAAGCATTTCTTATTCTCCTTTATTATTTCTAGCAAAAAAAAAAAAAAAGGTTTTGACGTTCTTGTTGTTTTTTTCAATAAAAAAAATAAACATCTGTTTGTAATGAACTTGGTTTTTGATACCATCTTCTGCAAGTGGGATTCCTAACATGACCAAAAATATTCAAAAGAGAAAAAAACGTAGAGTAAACACATTCATCATTGTTATTTTATTCTTTTGTAGGCTTGCTAATTTAAGTTTGTTTGAAGAGTTTCTGCTAAGCGCACACATTATGTCGTACACATTTTTTTGTGCTCTTTTAGCACACTTTTGTAATGATGGTCACATTGTGTTGACCATAACAACTTGAGGAATAACCAATAGAATGTTGTTAAGAGGAAGAGCAACACATTCCACATTTGAAATACCGATACATTGTGATTTAAGGTCATCATGTGCAATCAACAAGCAATCAGATTCAGCAAAGTCAATATGTCGTGCAACCCTCGTCGTGTGGGATGAGACTATCATAGCATGGTAACATGCTTGTGAAGCTTTGGATAGAATTTTAAAGGATATCATGGATCTCGATTTTCCTTGTAGAGGTTGGGTAACTATTCTTGCAGAGGAATTCCGCAAAGTCCTCCAAGTTGTACCGCCAAGTCCTCCAAGTTGTACCACATGGAATCAAAGTTGAGACTTGTACTCTATAACAAAATTGATTTTATGTTAATGCGCAAATTTTACACTTGAGACGACATGAGAGCGCAAAATAATAAGACATTTACTGAGTACCTACCTATTACGAGTTGGAAAGGGATAGGAATCTATAAGTGATTATATGATTAAAATCCCATCAACAAATAGGACTAATCTATTAACGCTTCATTGATGCTCTTTTCCTAGATATGAGTATAAATGTTGGCAACTCATCCTACATGCCTACGAGAGCTTTGTTAACATGTATTAACGAAGATGTTGATTGTTTAAACGATATGGTGATAAGCAATTTTACTGAAGAAGAGCATGTTTACAATTCCTTTGATGAAGTACAAGATGACACACAATTTAGAGCAAGTTCGGGAACTATCAATTATAATTTGGATTATAGTCCAAAGTGTTTGGTAACTTTAGTGGATTATAAATTGTTTTCAAACTTTACATGTTTGGCAAATGGGTGAATTATAATCTATCGTTGTCAAAATGACAAGGACCAATGATTAAAGGAGTTGGTTGTGAGTGAATATATGAGCTAGGAAATTTGTGAAATCATGAGGGGATATAAATGTCTTTTACTTGGTCAAACTTCATGGATTATAATTCACCAAAAATAAGCTGGGGTGCCATAACTTATTTATTAGTGGATTATAATCCAAGATAATCTACTTACCAAACATTCAAAAGTGAATTATAATCCAGAAAAGTGGATTGTAATCTATGTTGCCCAGACCAAACATGCTCTTATATTAATATGTTATTCTATTATATCTTCGGGTAGTTTGCCTCCTCATACGTTAATGAGTGGTGCCCCAATGATGTTGGTGCATAAGTTTGATCTAAGAATAAAGTTATGTAATGATGTTGGTGTATAATATTTGATGAGTAGCTTTACTTATGCACATTATTACTCTGCCTGAATATTTTTTATTTTGCACAAAGGTGTATTGTATCACAAACACATTGCATGCATCAGGGAGGGTAATATTAATATCACCAACCATAATAATGCACTAACTCTCAAGTAGCTCCACTAAACACTTAACCTATGTTGCATAGGTGCGAATGCAGGTACGCGTACTGGTACGCGTATGGGTACGAGACGCAACAAATTTGTAAAAGGTAAGGTATGGGGACATGGCTATGTGAATATTTATATACATATATATTATATGTTGAAATTAATAATTTATACGAGAACAAGGATGAGAGTTAAAATTCCTATAACCTTATTATGTTTTTTTATTTTGTGGATTATAAATGGGAAAATCACTAGTTTTGAACTAGACATCCAAACGACCCTTCAAAATTATAATTCGAAACCTAGCCTATGTCTAATGAGTTTCAAGAAGTGGATGTGAAGTGTAGGATATATGTCTAAACAATGTAAGACAAATGTTTCAAATTAAAACATGTATTATGTAATTGAGTACATGCCCGAATAAATGTATGCATATATGCAAGGAGCATCCAAGGAGTTTGGGTGCAAGTATGGTATGTGTTAGGTACGGGTACGACTTTCGATTAGAAGTACGCAGGTAACATAGGATAAGTGAGAGTGTATATTTGGGTAGTGTATTTTACTAATAAGATTTTGGTCATCTTTGATTATTATAAAAATAGATAATTTTAAAAAGATAAAGACTTTTAAAAAATGTGTTGCTTCACCTTAGTCATTAGGTTTTGTTACATGTTGTTTGCTCAGTCCTTAAACAAGCTATTCTAGCTCGCAAGATGCGAGCATGACACGGAACTTGTAGTGTGTAGTCCAAAGGAAATCTGTACTAATATACTAAAGCAGTTTTGCCTAAAACTGACACTTGGCAATCTTTCCCACCTAAAAGCAAAGCAGCAAAATAACTAGATTTATAGGTCAAGAGTGAAGAGAGAATATTTGATTAAACAACCAACATTGGAGATGGATCACAAGAAGGTTAGGGACGCAAACAATTGAAATGCATAAGGAGATAATTTGTAAGAAAGAATTACATATTTGGCTCACTGTGAGTTTGGGTGAGGAAAGAGATGGTGGTGGAGGTGGCAATGACGGTGGAGGGTGAGGAGGATGAGGAATGCTGTAGAGGAGTGTTAGATGATGAAGATGTTGACAGCATCGGAGACGGAGCGGAGGCAGAGGACATGGCTGTGTGGGCCTTGGCTAGGATTTAGCAGCATTTGATGATAGACTTTAGGAGGTGTTTTCGCTTGCGACAAAGCGCCACTATGTCCTTGTCGAAGTCGCTATTGTCGCTTATCAGCTTAGAGCCTGTATAGTTTCCCATTTATTTTTGGAGGTATAGTGAGGGTTTAGAAAAAGCTTGGAGGAAAAGATTCGAAGTTTTTTGTCTTGTAATTATGTGGAGATAATTTAGGATGTGAGAGAATGAAAGTAAATGTTTATAGGAAATTGGTAGAAGAATTTGAAAGGTTGTTTAGGAGAGAATAGACTTCTTTGTTTTCAAGATGGAAATAACTATTCGTTGACAAAGAAAGAGTAAAGATGGAAGTCTGAGAGGAAAAGATAGAAGATGAAAGGTTTTCTATATAAGGGAGAGTATAAAACGTCTCATTTTTTCTAAACCATAATAATTAATGACGAATCTAGGTGCAACCAATGAAAATTTGAAATTTATGAAAGTGGTGAACTAAAGCTACTTTGAAATTACTTAGGCTGTGGAGAAATTAATTTGAAAAAGTTGTGTAACTAATGTTAGTAGTTCCAAAGAATTTGGATTAAAGATTAAAGTGACGGGCATTGATAATAGAAATTATTTAAGAATCTGCCACATGGTGTAAAATCTGCACATTTTGTTGCTTTGATTTTGGGCGGGAAAAAATCTTTCTTTGATTGCCAAGTGTTTGTTCCAGATGGAATTACTTTAGTATATTAGTATAGATTACATTTCAATAATACTCCCTAAAATTATATGTCATGCATGTATCCGGTGCACTAGAATAACTTGTTTTGAAGGGTCAAAGAAAGCCAAATCCTTAAGAACCGAGGAGCTACCAAACGCTAATGATTAAGGAATTGCAAGACATATTTTGTTTTTGTCATTTTGGAATATTATCTATCCTTGTAAAAGTCAAAGATGATGTAAATCTTATCAATAAAATTGCATTTTTTAGTGAATCTTATCAATAAAATTGCAATCTTTTAGTGTAATATTGAGACTTCTGTAGTGGGTGTTATTAGTATTAGTCTTATCAAATATAATGCAGTACGCAAAACATCCATGTAAGTAATATTTTTTTATGTTTCCTCCTTTTCTGTTGCATCTTTCTTAAAACTTCAATGTTTTAAAGTTGTATATAGCTGAAGACATGACGTCGTAGACAAGTATCAACATGAGGTATTGTCTGGCATTGTGACTTGTTAATTGTGAGTGCAAAGATTAGATATATTAAAAATTATCTTATTCATTATTCTAAACAGTAGCTTGGCATCTTTAGAAGGCTTAAATGAGATTCTACGCAGCAAAATCTTAAAATCAGTAAGGTTTCTCTGAGAAGCACAATCTTATACCATTACATAACCCTATTTTTAAATCAAGGTTATGCAATGACATCTTTAGGGCCCCGACTTTAAATAGTAACTTTTGAAGAGGCAAACCACTTGGAGAATAGAATTTAGAAACTCCTGTTGATATAAATTGCATGTCATCTTAGACTTCATTAAAGAGATAGTAAACATATGTGCTTAATAAAATTGCTTATCACCAGGTCATTGAAACAATGAGCATCTTAATATCTAGGTGCTAACATGGCTCTCTTAGTAATATAGGATGAATTGTCAACATTTGCGCTCATATTTGGAGATATGACATCAATGAGAGCATCAATAGATTGGTCTTCTGCCCATGGTATCACAATTGGTAATGGGATTTGATTATTTTGATCATATCATCAGTTATAGATGCTTTTCTATTTTCAGCACGTAGCAGGTACTCAGTAAATGCCTAACCATTTGATGCTTTCATGTATTGCCTCAAGTGTGAAACACGTGCATGCTGCTATAATGTTGATTTACTATAGAGGAGTTTATGGTCTTAGTGTTAGTTCAGTATGGTATGACTCGAACTTGGGCAGAAGTCTACTCCAAAAATAGTGACCTTTCATCTAAAAAGTAAATCTAGATTCATTATATTTTTAGTCTCTGTCCAAAGCTTCAAAAGCATGTTGATGTGCTATAGTAGCCTCATCCTATATCATAGCCGTTGTACGATGTGATGATTCTACTTAATCTGACTGCTTGCTTATTGCACATGATGGTTTTGAATCAAAATATATATGTATCTTCAATGTGGAACATGTCGTTCTTTCTTATAACAACGTTATTGTAGCTATTCCTGAAGTTGTTTTAGCCAACACAATATGATCGTCATTACGTAGGTGTGCTAAAAGAGCACGATACAGGTTTGACAATTCCTCCAGGTCCATCTACGAAAACAATTGAATGATTTTTTGCATTTATTATCTACAAAATTGCTTCGAATTATATTCATTCGTGTCATTGAACTTATTCTTTCAATTAATTTCTTCAACTAAAATCACAATAAATAACTCATCTTTGAATAATGTTGGAGACCAATACCATTGATGTATTATTGAACCGATCACTGATGATTGAAAGATCATACCAATTAACGTTTTATTCTATTCTACTGACACAATAAATAATTTATTTTATGAAGGAGATGATTAATGGCAACAATATTGCTACTGTTTGATGAGTAGGAATAGTATTCTATCACAATATGGGACCCATTCCCTAATATGCTCACACACTTACATTCTCATAGTAACCTAAGATTGTAAATATGAGCTTTTAAGAGCTGATGACATATGCTTAGGTGTTTCTCTTAACCATCTTCTAAAGCTTTGATCATCTTAAAAATAACCCAGCTCTTTAGTTGTATACTTTGAATGTTGGATAAGTAATCCCTTTGATTGACAGGTCACCAAATTGATTGATTGAGAAAAATACAATAGTAAAATCATTCACCATCATTTGGATAGGTATTAATATTCTACCAATGACCTTCTTTGATAGAATCTCTCATTCTTGAACCATTTATAATGCTCAGAAAACTTTCGATATAAGTATTGGGCGACCGATGAGTCTAATCTTAAAGTACTCACATAGTATTATTTTTTGAATTTCAACCATCAGTCAAGATTTCTTCCACTGTTTAATGGCATTAGTATCGAACTTGATGCCTCTTAGGTAAGTGTATTTGAAGCCTCTCAACTGATGGAGGGTAATGTCCAGTAACAGAGGTGGTGAGTACTTATGTCAATGGTGCAATGGGCCAGCAATGATGATGGCCATAGAAGCTATGACTCTAAAAATTAATTGTAGATACCTTATGAAACATGAATGAAGATTTGAGTGTGCTCAGAGGTAAGTCTTGAGATAATATGTTAGTTGAGTGGAAAGAGTTTTCTGGTGAAAGAATTGGTTAGTGTGGCTCTTGGTTTGTGGGGATTGGAGTAGCTTGTAGCTGATAAGAGGAGATAGATAAGGGATTTGGCAAGAGGATTTGTTGTTTACTTTTTCTTAGTTTCTCCTATTGGTAGAGATAGTTATATGAAGAGGGAAGAGACATTAGATTGTAAAGATGGGGTTTTGAGGAGATGGTGATAGGATTAGTCTCAAGTTTTTGAAGAATTTGGTTATATTAGATTTGAGGAGGGTTGGATAGGATTATTAGGTGGTTAAGGAGTAGAGAGAGAAATCCAGAACACGGGTGGATCGTTTGTGAGGATTCTTATCAGAATTTTCCATGATCGTCCTTCATAATATTTTGAAGTATTAAAAGTTACTTTGGGCGTTTTGTGGGAATGTTTGGATTTTATAAAATGAGATTCACAGGACCAAAAGCCTGCCTTCTTTTAATTGTATTAACAGATCAATGTTTCCGGAGTTTTGTTTCTCATCCTAGAAGATAATATTTTCTGAGTGTTTTTTGGTGCTTCAAGCCTGTTTTTCTTCTTCTTTTTACCTTGGTAAGTCTGAACTGAATAATTGTTACCCTTACTTGGGGAGTGAGGGGATCAGGAAGCAGGAAAAGTAAAAGAACCCAGACTTGGAGAAAATAGGAGTGTGTTCAAGTTAATGAAAGCTTCCTGACTTTCAAATGCCGTGACATTTTGGAGTCCTTATTTTGCAATTTAGTAAGGACTGCTAGGAGATTCTGTTCAAATTTAATAAAAATTCTACTTGTGCAACTGTGGCGTGCTGTAACTCCTAGCTTTGCAATTTAGCTAGGGTTTCTAGACATCTTAATAAAGTTCTAACTTGTGCAATTAGAAATGCCAGTTCTATTTCATATTGGTATTGTTTTTTCTCTAGTATCCTCTGACATGTCTTATGTGAATTTTGACCATTTTCTGAACATAGACAATGGGATATGTTGGTGAATGAAGAGTCTGACCTAAACCAATATCTGCAGATCATCATGCTCATGATCATACCCATGATCCTGGTGTCTCTTCTGTAAGCATTGTATGCGAAGGAAGCTTGGACCTGGAAAAGGTTTGATTCTAAATCCTTCTTGTCATATATTGAACCTTCTATGCAGCATCCTCCTGATCTCTTGTGGAATTACCTGATATTTAGGGTATTAGCTACTTAATTCTTCTACAAAGCAACATATTCTGTTATGTTTGTGCTGCAGGCTAACATGTGGTTAGGTACGTTATTGATGGAGCGTAGTGATGATATTTATCGAATGAAGGGCCTCCTCTCTGTTGACGGTATGGATGAGAGATTCGTATTTCAGGTTTGTCAGCCAAATATCTTAACGTTACATCACCTTCTCACCCACTATGTCTTGTGTTTGCTGCCTTAGCATATGTAGAAATACTCCATGATTCTCCGTAATTGCTTATCCTATTATCTGCAGATTCTATTATAAACATATATATTAGTTGTTTGGTGGCATATGTACTGTCTTTTAAAGGTACGTACCACCATATTTGCTTCATTATGATCCATAAAACCCCAAAGCCAAAAGGCAAGACATGCATAGACAAGAATTTACCACAGCCGTTAGATAGTCTAATGGGAAATAATGACTGCAACTCTTCATCTAGCTTCTAGGGTAAGTTACCTCAGGCTATAGCAGATTGATGTTGGATTGATAGTTATTTGTAGAAAAAGGTGAGTTCTTTCCACTGTTTTCCTTGCTTAGTTCCAGTTTCCACTATTTTCATGGCTTTAGAGGAGGGTAATGACAAGGTCAGGTGACAAGGATCCAATTAGTTTCATCTATGATTCCATTTATTGTCTGAAATTTCTTTCCATCATCATCTTTACTGCACTTGTTTCATGAAACCGCAAGTGAGTGATCAAAATTCAAGATTTTGGATGTTCGCTATTGTCATGAATAATGTGGGGACAGGCAGTCTATAATAATGCAACGAGCTAATAATAATATTTAACTACAAGAACAAATGTCTCGTAACCAACCTGACCCATCTTTGCCTACCATTCCCATATTTGGTTGAAGTAAAACTTGAATCTAGACTTGAATTGAAAAATATTTGTAGCAAAATTATTTGGTGACCTTGTTTGCCCTTTTTTCTAAAATAAAATAGTTCGGGGAGTAAGTACAATTAAGCAGGTGACATGTAGACCCATTGTAAGCTGTACGCTGTCCATTATTTCATCTTTGGTTAATTCCTCACTTTCAGTTTCTTTTTTACTTGGGGCAGGGAGTTCATGACATCTTCCAAGGTTCACCTGATAGATTATGGGGCCCAGAAGAACCTAGGATCAACAAAGTTGTTTTTATTGGTAAGAACCTTGATGCTCAAGAATTGGAGAAGGGATTTAAAACTTGCTTGTTGCCGCAGTGACTCTAAAAAAAAAGGCCTTCAATTCTTGTTGAGGTAATGGATTGCTCCTTGATATAGATAAGAGTTTTCTGGTGATAGGAGCCTTAATTTTATTTTATCACTATTTAAAGGGATTACAACAAAGTCTACATGGACTTGGCCCCTGAATCTTTTGAACTAGAGATTCTCGCTTTATAGGATAGGGAAGAGTATTTTTGATCCGTGTAGAGTTTTTAAGATTATTTTTGAAAACTGTATTCCAAATTTACTATGTACTGAAATAAGTAAATGTCTTTAAGCGCATGCATGTTTGTGAATGCATTTTTTCTTTTCTTTTTCTCTCTGATGGATTATATTTGTTGAAATGAGATTCATGAATATTAAGTATCTACCCATAAGTCTCCTTTGGCAACCAACTGCTCAATTAGACATGTGCAATTTAGGCTTTTTGTCTCTCTTTCCTTTTCTATACCATAGCTCGATTCAACTGAATCACTTTAAGTCCTTTCTTATTAGTTTAGTCTGAGCCAACTATATTGTAGAGGACTCCTCTTATTCTATTAGGAGAAATTCACCATGAGGAGAAATATTATCCAATGATTTTTGCATAACGGGTGGAAAAAATAATTTCATCACCCCTCACTGTGACTTCAGAATTTTAGTACATCAGCAGAGATGTTAAGATATTACTGGAGCAACCCATGTTTCAAATCTTTCTTGTGGGAACAAATATGGAAGAATTTGTTGTTTCCTAAACTTTATTCTATAAAGCATTTGCTTTCGTCCTTACTACCCATTTTATGTTTGTTGTTCTTGGCTTTATTCGTCTCCGTGACCCTTTATGTTTAACAATGAAGGCCTACTCTATGCCATTATCAGATCAAAGGTTAGGTAATTTCCATATTTGTATGGTGGTGATGATGATGTGTGTATATATACATCTTAGGGCAAGCAAGGAGAATAACAAATACTTTTCTGCGATTAGGCTATTTTACATGTTAAGCAACCATATCTCAATCACTTGTACCTTATCCATGCCCATATTCCGTATATTCATTTTTGTAGAATAGTAACAAAATTTTGAGGATTAAATACATCCAACATGCATTAAGTTACAAGAATCAAATATATGATTGTAGTTCCTGATCTATGTTTTTGCCAAATCAAGTGAACATGAAAGATGGTTGAAGTGGGCTACATATGTAAAACAGAATGAACCATCACTATTCTATTCCCGATCTATATTTGTGTAAGAGTACAAGAATAGTATAACTCTTGTGTACGGTTACCACTACTCAATGAAATGAAGGTGTTCCAAGTTCCATTATAATAGAGCCATACTGAAGGAATGCTTATTTCTTATTTGTTCTCACATTGAGAAGAATCTCTATTGGCAGCATAATGTGGGAGAGTGCGAGGGGTTTCTGTTTGCTATACTTTCTATATGTTTGGTTAAAGAGGTATCGTTAGGCTACATAGAGACCCCCTGCTACTTTGCAAAACTGTTCATGAATCTCTTGCAGTCTTCAGTCAATCAAATAGCGTCAATGGCAATCATTTGGATGCAATGCCAGGAGGGATCATATGCTTTCATATTCAAACATATGTCTCTCACTGGTAATATTAGGTTCGGTTTGATTGGCAGATATGCTAGATGCAGAGTCGGTTTTTTCTATCAACAGTACGGGGTGTTTGGTACACTGCAGCTGTACTCGCGGCGAATGTTGCGTGTATGAAATGTTGCATTCAACATTTGGTACAGGAAGTCAACCTCAAATTCGTTGTTTGGATATCTGCACTTTTATTATGGTAGATGCATTTCCAAATACAAATCTAATGTTTGGTTATTCACAAATTTTTTTAGATTTATATATTTTGTTGTGGAAAATACATTTTCATTGTAGATCACGTGTTTGTTTCTCTTCAAATGTAAAAAGATCTACATTGTTTAGTTAACCACAAGAAAACACCTTTAAAATAGGGTCATTATACAAAAACCACATTTTATTTACAATTTATATCTAAACCATTTTTAAAATGAGTTTTTATTCTAATTAGTCACCTTCCAGCCAAAATTTTCACTAAATCTCAAAAATACATTAAAAAAAACTTACATTCAAGACATGACTCACTTTGTTATGTCTAGGTCTAGTTAGGATGAGTCATGTTCCTTAAACATACATTTTTAAGTTTTATTCATGTCAACTTAAGTGCACCATCCACCAAAGTTTCTATCCATTGATGAAAAGTCTCTTCATATGATGAACGGATCTTTAAGTATCATCAATGGATAGAAACTTTGGTGGATGGTCCACTTAAGTTGATAATAAGTAATTATTATAATTTTTTATCTAAAAAAGATCAAACATACAATATAATTAATTTCTTTAAAATAATCTAATCTAATCTAATAAGAAGAAAATAGATGAAAATGATGTAAAAATTATTGTAATTTTATAATTATATATATATATATATATATATATAATACTATTATAAAAGTGTGTTGGTATGTTAAAACGTTTCTTCCGAAAATACCCTTTAAAACACATGCATCCATACATAAACCATACCTCATACATACATAACCCCTAATTAAATACATTATTATTCATAACCCATAAAATAATTTCACCATTACTAAGTCGTTTATATTTTTATAACCTCCCATTAACATATTAGTCTCTTATAACTCACTAATTATCACTATCATAATTGAAAAAATGTTACAACCATTCATCTTCTTACTAAACCACTATAAATCATAACAAATCTCTTACAAAAATGAATACATCATATGCAACCCTCATCATCTCCATTGCACCTCCTCAAATCCTTGAACGTCTCTTTGTCCCGATTTTGCCTATTTGGATTTTATTCTCTGCACAACCAATCACTACTTACTATCTCTTATTATAACATGATGAGATTAGCATGATTTATAGTGAAAGATTCTTTCTCTATCTTTTATAACCTCCCAATAACAAATTAATCTCCTACTCTCTCTTTCTTAATTCTCACTAATGATCACTACCATAATCATAGAGAATGTTTTAACTGATTTTTTACCATTACAATTTCTCTTTGCTTGATTTGGCTTATTATAATTTATGTCTTTATTGGTCAATCAAGATTTTTGAAGTTTGTATTTAATTTTTGTTTTGAGAACCATAAAACCTAATCAAGTATGAAATTCATGATTTAACAAAATATGTTTTACTTAAAATATTTTATTTAAAGTAATAAAATACATAATTTATTTTAAAGTTATAGTTGTAATGTGTTATCAAAACATAAGATGATGCAAATGGGTAAAAAGAGTTGGACAAAATAAAAATAATAATAATGTCTCACTTATAACCTCTTCATATTCATAACCTCTCCATTAATTACCTATAACTTTTTATTTAATTTCTCACTCATAACCTCTCCTAATCTTTAATTTCATCCATTAATCTTCATCACTAACAATAATGAACCCCCCAACAGACACTATCCTTTAATTTCAGCAGAAACTAAATATACTTAATTTTTATAACCTCCCAATAACAAATTAATCTCCTACTCTCTCTTTCTTATTTCTCACTAATGATCACTACCAATCATAGAGAATGTTTCAACTGTTTGTCTTTATACTAGCCACTATAAATCACAACTACTTTGTTTAAAATTTTCTATGAATTCTCTTTTAAGTATAATTTCCTACTTCATTATTAACACTAATAAAGTAAGATTTCGAAATAAGCTAAATATAGAGTGAAGCTTTGTGACATGTGCGTATTATTTAGAGCTCAAGGTTTTAAGACTAAATTCTGGAAATGACACATCAAGTTACTTCACTTCCAACTGATCAAGTAAGATGAATAATTGACTAAATTCTGGAAATGACACATCAAGTTACTTCACTTCCAACTGATCAAGTAAGATGAATAATTGAAGAAGAAACAAAGAGTAGTTTCCCGTCCAACTGATCAAGTAAGATGAATAATTGAAGAAGAAACAAAGAGTAGTTTCCCGTATTTATATAAATGGGTTTGAGATTTTTAGGTTCTGCTCTTACTATGTATATGCAAAGATCTTTAGCACTAGCATAATATGCACATAACAGTCCATATTTTCCAACGTAAGGATATACTTTGGTCATACCCATCATAATGGTTCCTTGAAAAATCATGTACTGAGTTGCAAAATCCATCCTTCACAAAAAGTTTTGTCTAATTGAAATTTGTAGGTTCAACTAAAAAATATTGTTAGAGCAAAATAATGACACACATTAGTGTAAGACCCCATAACTTTTTTTTGATGATGTTTATTCTTAACAATTGAAGAAGCTCTGATTAAGTCTTTTCAGAGGACTATATAGATTTTGGTTAATTTTTTAGCTCTGATAGAGTATGTTCTTAGTTGTCATAGAACATAAAAATTTTCATATTTCCAGCGTAACGAAAAAAAAAGATTAAAAATTTTAACGTTAAATAATATCCAGTCTGCTATTGTGGACTTTGAACTAAGAATATACTTTGGTCATACCCATCATAATGGTTCCTTAAAAAAGCATGTACTGAGTTGCAAAATCCATTCTTCCCAAAAGTTTTGTCTAATTGAAATTTGTAGGTTCAACTTAAAAAAATTGTTAGAGCAAAATAATAACACACATTACTGTAAGACCCCATAACTTTTTTTGATGATGTTTGTTCTTAACAATTGAAGAAGCTCTGATTAAGTCTTTTCAGAGGACTATATAGATGTTGGTTAATTTTTTAGCTCTAATAGAGGATGTTCTTAGTTGTCATAGAACATAAAATTTTTCATATTAATACAAAATATTTAAATTATTATTTTACAGTCAATATGTTATTTATCCTTCCTAATAGTATAACTATATTACAAATTTGTGAATAAAAAACCCCAAATGTGCTAAATTATAAACGTCAGACATTATGTTAAATTATAAAACAAGTAGAATTATGCTTTTTAGGTTCACAAATTGAATAATGTCTTTCAGGTATTCCGTAAGTTTTATTAGAAAGCTCTGGTTTCATAAAACTAAAATTTTAGAAAAATTATAGAGTAAACCTTTAAATTTGCAAAATAACCCTGAAACTTCATAATTTTATAGATATGCTATAAAATTTACAAAAAGGACCTTGAAATGTCACAAATAAACCTCATAAAAGATTATATTTACTCTAGGATTTTAATGATAAAAAGATAGCAAAAATCCACAAATTACATCTAACACCAAACTTATTATAAAAAAAAGATAAACATTAAATTAATCTAACAAAGTGCAACGTACGTGCACTATACTAGTATATATATATATATATATATAAACTTGT